CGTCCAGCTCCAGCTCGCCCGCGCCCGGCGGCGACCCTGCGGCCGCCGACTCCGCCGGCCCCGGTCGGTCGGGCCCCTCGGCCGGGCCCCGGTCCGTGCCCGCCGCGGGGGCCTCCTCGGAGGCGTCCTCGGGGGCGTCGTCCGAGGCGTCGTCGGAGGCGTCGTCGGAGGCCGCGTCGGGCCCCGCGTCGGACCCCGCGCCCTGGCCGGGCACCACCGAGCGTTCGGCCACTTCGACCGGCGCCTGCGGCGGCGGCGGCGCGCCGGTCAGGGCAGCGATCTGCCGCTCCGCCGTCGTCGCGATCTCCGGCCAGAAGACATAGCCGCCGCCGGCCAGCAGCAGGCCGATCAGCAGCAACCAGGCGGCCAGCAGCAGGCGGCCGGCCGGGCTGCGCCGCCGGCGGCGCGGCGGGGCGGCGCTGCCGATGGGGCCGTCGCCGGCGGGACCGATCATCCGATCGGTCCCGCCTGGGCCGGCCTTGTCGTCCGTCTTGCTGCGGCGCGGCACGTCTGACCTGCGAGCCTCGCTCCGCTCAGTTGACGCTGCGCTGGCTGAACAGCGTCAGGCCGCGCAGCAGGTCGAGGGCGCGGGCGAGCTGGTAGTCGACCAGCGCCTCGTCCTGGGGCTCCTCGGCCGCGCCCTCGGCGTCCGGCGCCTCGCCCTCGAGCGGCGCCTCCTCGGCCTCCAGGCGGCCGCGCAGGTCCGCCTCGCTGCGCCGCTCCGGCCCCTCGATGGCCTCCAGACGGGCCCGCTCGACGATGATGTCCGGGTCGATGCCCTTGGCCTGGATGGAGCGGCCGCTGGGGGTGTAGTAGCGCGCCGTGGTCAGCCGCATGGCGCCGGCGCTGCCCAGGGGCATGACCGTCTGGACCGAGCCCTTGCCGAAGGACTTGGTGCCCATGACGATGGCGCGCCGGTGATCCTGCAGCGCGCCGGCCACGATCTCCGAGGCGGAGGCGGAGCCGCCGTTGATCAACACCACCATGGGCAGGCCCTCGAGCAGGTCGCCGGCGCGCGCGTTGTAGCGGCTCGAGTCCTCCTCGTAGCGGCCGCGGGTGGAGACGATCTCGCCGCGCTCCAAGAAGGCGTCGGAGACCGACACCGCCTGGTCGAGCAGGCCGCCGGGGTTGTTGCGCAGGTCGAGCACGATGCCGCCGAAGGCGTCGCCCAGCTCCTCCTTGAAGCCGGCGACCGCCTCCTCCACGCCGGGCATGGTCTGCTCGTTGAAGGCGGTGACCCGCAGGTAGCCGATGTCGCCCTCGACGCGCGAGCGCACCGACTGCACGGTGATGATGTCGCGCTCGATGGTGACGTCGAAGGGCTCCTCGTCGCCGCGGCGCACGGTGACCGAGATCGAGGTGCCGACGGGCCCGCGCATCAGGTCCACCGCCTCGGAGAGGTCGAGGCCGACGATCGGCTCGCCGTCGATGTGGGTGATCAGGTCGCCGGCCTCGATCCCGGCGCGGAAGGCCGGGGTGTCGTCGATCGGCGAGACCACCTTGACCACGCCGTTCTCCATGGTGACCTCGATGCCCAGCCCGCCGAACTCGCCGCGGGTCTGCACCTGCATGTCCTTGAAGCTGTCGGCGTCGAGGTAGCTGGAGTGCGGGTCCAGATCGCTGAGCATGCCCTGAATCGCCGCCTCGATGAGCTGCTCGTCGCCGACCTCCTCGACGTATTCGGCGCGCACGCGCTCGAAGACGTCGGCGAAGACCTTGAGCTGCCGGAAGATTTCCTCGTCGCTCTCCTGGGCCTGGGCGCCCGCCGGCAGCAGGACCACGGCACAGATGGCGGCCGCGACCGCCGTTTTCGCAAAGCGCATCAGCCTCTCGCTTTCTCTTCGTCCATCGCCAACCAGGGTAGGGGGTCGATCGGCTGGCTGTCGCGCCGCAGCTCGTAGTAGAGGCGTGGCGCCCCCCTGCCCGCCGCGCTGCCGCCGTCCGTGTTGCCGCCGTCCGTGTCGCCGCCCAGGCCGCCGCCCCGCTGGCCCATCACCCCGACGGGCTCGCCCGCCAGAACCCACTGACCCACGACGGCGTCGATCCGCTCGAGTCCCGACAGCAGGCTATGGTATCGCCCGTCGTGTTCGATGATCAACAACAGCCCATAGCGCCGAAACCGCCCCGCGAAGGCCACCTGTCCGTCGTAGGGCGCGACCACCTGCGCCCCCGGTCTGGTTTCCATATAGATCCCGCGGGCGCGTCCGTCGATGTCGCCGCTGGGCCTTTCGCCGAAGCCCACCGCCAGGCTGCCGGCCACCGGCAGGCGCAGGCTGTCGCGCACGCTGGGGAAGGGCCGCACGCTGCCGGGCTTGGCCAGGGGCGCGGCCGGCAGGCTGGCGACCTGGGGCCGGCCGGCACTGCCGCCCGGCCGCGCCTCGCGCGCCAGCGCCACGTCGGGCGCCGGCTCGGCCCGC